AAAATCAACCCCAAGGGCTAAAGAGCACGGCAGAGAAGGACCAGGAATACGGAACCATGGCAGAAGAAGACAAAGAGCACGGCAGAATAGCCCCAAGAGCGAAGGAGCACCGCAGAATAGGCCCCAGGAGCGAAGGAGCAGGATAGAAAGAACCAGGAGCACGGCATAATAGACCATCTAGGACGATCTTCAAGGTTATTCCAACTCGCTTCTTGAGAAGAGTCGCTTCGTCCACCAAGCATGTGAAACGAAATATGCAATGTTCCTGTGTGTTCTGCCGTGCTCCTGCGTGGTCTGCCGTGTTCCTGTGTGTTCTGTCGTGCTCCTGTGCATTCTGCCGCGCTCTTGCGTATCTGCCATGCTCCTACTTGTTAAAGTTAAAGTTAAAGTTAAAGACGGGGCCTTCAAGGCTAAAAAAAGGAAACCCCTGCGAAACCAAAACGGGGCGGCCTCTTCGGGCCCGGGCAGGCGGAAGGGCCAAACCCCCTCAGACGCCCAACCCCCTCACCGAGGCGAGACCAGATCTACATGCAGAATGCAACTGCACGCCTCGCTCAGCCTGGCCGAAGACCTGAGCCGCCTCGAGCAACCGCAGCCCCTCGGCCAGATCGCCGCTCAGGATTGCCGCCTGGGCCGCTGCGGCCGCAGCCAGCCGCTCCTGCGCATCGACCTTGACCTCCCGCGCGTGCTCGAGCGGCGGCACTCGGTCAGCGTCGCTCTTGACGGAGCCGACGCCTTGCTGCTGCCCCTCGCCCTCAACCTGGTCCACCGTCTGCATGCCCACCTCGACGGACAGCTCCCCGATGAACCACTCCTGCGTGCAAGCCTCCGCGCTGTTGTCGACCGTGCCCCCGACCAGCGCGCCCTGCTTCCTCAGCTCCTCCTGCTTCTCGGGGTCGTACCGGAACTTCCCCGTGCAGAAGCGAGTGTTATCCATGCCCAGCGCGTCTCCAACCCTAACGTCCGAGACCTGTACCCCACCTTCTCAGCCTTGCTGTCTGGGGCGTACTCGCTGGCCTTTTCCGTCGGCTCACCCATCTGCTTCGCCACTGGCTTAAGCAAGGACCTCTCCTTCAGCTCGTCCGTGGCCTTGCAGTTTGGGGCGCCCTCGATGTCCTTCATCTCCACATTCGCGCTCAGCACGCGCGGCATCTCCGACGCGTCCTCGGAGAAAGAATCCCCGCTGCTGCCCTCCAGCACCTGCGTGCCTGCAGGCGGCGGGTCCCTCTCCAGACCGCCACGGCCTCTCTTGCGCTGCCCGCGGACGCGCGTCTTGGCCTCCGCCGCCGTCGCAGGCACCGCCGCCGCCCCGCCCCCGAAGCCCGCGTGGAGTGCCCAATGGCGGAATGCGCGGCAGGCCCCAGAGGGCTGGGCCCGCACCCCGTCGCGCCCTGCGGCGACGTGGAGCCGCAGGTGCGGCCGTGCGAGCTCCTCGCGCACTGCCACCTCCTTGTCGATCTCGCCGTCGTCGCTGTCGCCTTCAGCCAGCACCTCCGCGCACGTGCGGATGGCCGCCGCCACCGCGGCCGCCACCACCTGGCGGGTGCCGCCTCCAGCCGCTGCCCCATGTGCCGCGGCCTGCACGAGCGGCGCCATCGCCGCCAGCAGCCTGCGCTCGCCCCCCCGCGGGGGCGGGACCGTAGCCACCGCCTGGGCCATGGCCGCGGCAAGAGATAACGCTTCCCCCTGAGCAGGCGAGAAGCGCAGAACCCAACGCTGCCGCCCGCCAGGCGCCCAAGGCAGGCTGGAGCCAAAATGGCTACGGATGCTCCTACTTGTTCTGCCATGCTCCTGCGTGTGCTGCTGTGTTCCTGTGTGTTTTGCCGTGCTCCCGTGTGTTCTGTCTGTTTTGCCGTGTTCTTGCGTGTTCTGCCGTGCCCCTCTATGTTCGGCAAAATCAATTCCAAGAGCTAAAAGAGCACGGCAAAAAGAAGGAGGAATACGAACCTCAATCGCAAAGGACCACGCCAAAACAAGACAAAGCGCACGGCAGAATAGACCCCAAGACCGAAGGAGCACGGCAAATTAGGCCCCAGGGGCGAAGGAGCATGATAGAAAAAAGAACAGGAGCACGACATAATAGACCCGAAGGGCTGAGGAGCACGGCAGAATAGGCGCCAGGAAAGAAGGAACATGGCAAAACGCGACCAGTGACCAGGAGCATGGCAGAATAGACCGCAAGAGCTAAAGAGCACGGCAAGATAGATGCAAGAATACGGCATAATACGCCCCAAAGAAGGAGTATGCAAGAAAAAGACAAGGAGCATGGCAGAACAAACCCCGAAATCGAAGGAGCACGGCAGAATATGCCCCAAGAGCTAAGGAGCACGGCAGAAAACGACCAGGAGACCGGCATCATAAGCCCCAAGATCAAAGGATTGTGACAGAAAATGGCCAGGAGCATGGCAGAATAGGACCCAAGAGCGAAGGAGCACGGCACAAAAAAAACAAGGAGCATTTCAGAATAGACCCCAGGAACGAAAGAGCACGGCAGAATAGACGTCAAGAGCGAAGGAGCACGGCAGAACTGCTCATTCTCTGCCTTGCTCTTTTTTCGCCGGCCATGCTCCGCCCGATTTTGTTGAGGATGTATGCAGCGAGAGCGCGATTTTTGACACAAGAGGTAGTAAAAACGCCACTCCAAGATATCATTTTTGTTAACATGTCTCAGGCGAGACACCCGTTTTTGAACATCTGTCGAATTCGCGGCTTTCCATGTTTAAGGGATGTCTCAGGCGAAACGCTCATTTTTGATGAAATCGATGTTGTGAACATTTCATTTTTGTAAGGACGTCTCAAACGAAATCGCCATTGTGGATCGTCTCGAGGCCGCTCCTGAGGGTCAAATTTGGGCTTGTTTTGGGCCTTTGGGGCCCTTCTTGATGCCTTACAAAACTGTTACAGTCCGATGTTACACACATTCATTTGTTCAGGATGTCCCTAGCGAAATCGTCATTTTTAGATGACTGGCTTAAACCCTCTAGAGGCCTTTTCAGGAGCGATCCCAACACGATGTTAAAACAGCAGTTTTCAAAACGATGTTGTTCGATGTGTTATTTGTTCGAAGATGTCCCTAGCGACATCACTATTTTCAGCAACCTTAAGGGCGCTATTGGAGCCATGTTGTGGCCTTCTTTTGCTTCCTGATGCCCTCCTAAAATCATTACGATGCGATGTCGCACGCGTCAATTTTTTGAGGATGTCCCTACCGAAATCTACATTTTTTGAAGGATGCCTTGGGCCGTCTGGAAGCCTTTTCAGAAGCAATGTCAAAACTATGTAAGAACAACAGTTTTCAAGTCGATGCTGGTGTATGTTTTCACTTTTTGAGGATGTCCCTAGCGAAATCGCCCCAATCGTTCTGATAGCCATCTTGAGTTCTTTTTGGCCTCTCATTTCGTCATCCATCTTGGGGTACTTCGAGAACGATATCAAGACGACGTTGAGGACATCTCATTTTGTTGAGGATGTCCCTAGCGAAATGCAAATTGTCTGCCGTGCTCCTCGTTCTGGTCCGCCGTGCTGCCGCTCGTTTTCGGAGGATGTCCCTAGCGAAATCGCAATTCTTAACATAAGAGTTAGTTAAATACTTCAGTCGTCATTTCATTTTTCCGAGGATGTCCCAAGCGAAACGCAAATGTTCACAGACGGCGAAATTTCGCAGTCATCAACTGTTCGAGGATGTCTCGAGCGAAACGCTTGTTCTTGTTAAACGCGATGTCGCGAAGATCTCATTTTTGTGAGGATGTCTCACGCGAAATCGCCATCCCGAGGAATCCGCTAAGCCTCCATACCGTGCGGCGCGCCACCCCCTATAGTTAAGAGATCTCTTACTGATATGACGAAGATTCAGCCAAAACGTCCAGCTCGCTTCTCGTTCCTCGAAGACGCTTCCCGTCATCCCCTGCAGGGGCCTCAAACTGGCAATTTGCCCCCCCCCCCCCCCCACACCCACCCCACCCCACCCCTGGCCGAGCCCGACTCCGGACCGAACGCGCCACGGGGGAGCGGAGGGCTCCAAAACGGGCCAAGAAGGAACCAAAACGCTCCCCAGACGTCCCAGAGGGCCACGAGTCGCCGAAAGATCGCTCCTTGACGCACACGATGGCCTCCAGACGGCCTCCGAGGCTGCCAAGACGCCCCCAAAGGGCCCCCAAGATCGTCCAAAGAGGGTCCCAAGAAACAAAAATCGTCCCATTCCCGGGGGCAAAAAACATGTTTCGCATACTCGCCTTTTCGGCTTGCGCACGGCCCAAGACTGGCAAAGAAACCTTCAATATCGCCCCCGAACGGCCGAAGGGGCCCCCAAGAGGGGTCGAAGATGGTCCAAAAACAATCCACGAAGCCCCCAAGACAGCCCAAGAGGGCCCCCAGACGGCTCCAAGAGGGAGTCCAGATGGCACCTTTTCGAGCCTTCGGCCCCAAGACGCCCAGCCTGCCCCAAGAACACCCCGAGAGGCCCTGAGAGACCCCCAAAAGAACCTCACATGCCTCCAAGAAGCCCACAGGAAGCCCCCAAGAGGCCCCCAAACTTGGCTCAAGATGCCTCGAGGCGGCCGGATATGGCCTGCAGACAAGCCAAGATGCCACCAAAAGGCCACAAAAGAGCACCAAGAGGTACGATAACAGCAACGAAGCAACAGGAACGATGTCGAGCGCCGTGTCATGATTCGGACAACTCTCGTGAAATGCAGTCCTCGAGGCGCAATAGTTTATATAGGGGTCGGCGGATGTGGCGCAAGCTTATAGATTCGCAAATTCGCCCGCCTATGTTTTCCCCCCCCGCGACGATACTCAAGACCAGTACCAGGCTGCACAACTTTGCTCAGGCGCGGTGCTCGGTCGAAAGCATCCCCACGGCTCCGTGCCGGAGGCCCGCGGAAGGGGGGCGGAACGCGACCGGGGCTCAAGCGCCCGTCGGCCCGGCGCGTCTCGGCGCCGTAGCCAACCCCCCGCACCCGGGGCGCCGTGCACACCCGCGCGCTGCCCCACACTGCTGCTCACTTCTCGATGGTCAAGACCTGCCACTCGCCCTCATCGCGCCAGCGCGATTTCACCTCCCCGTCGGGAGCCCTGTCGAGCGGGTTCCCGTCGAGGTACTCCCCCTGATGCCCCCGGAGGAAGATCATCCGAGCCATTCGGGGCCAGGCGGCGTGTGAGGCGGTCGTTCCCGCACCCCCGCGCCCTCACTGGCACCCAAAAGTGGCTCGCTTGAGAGGGGGAGGGTGGAGCACACGTGGGTAGTCCAGGAAACAAAGCTCCCAGGCTACAACGCCGGACCAAGAAGCCTCAGCAAAACCTCTGGGAGGCCCAGCGACCGCCCTGGAGGCCCCGCAGGGATTCCCAAGATGTTCCCAGGGAGCTCTGCAGCGGCCACTCCAGGGGGGCAGAATGGCCTGCGAGATCCTCCAGTGAGCCCTGGACGGCTCAGTAAGGCCACAAGACTGCCAAGGATGACCCCAAGATGGCTCCAAGATAGTCACAATGCGGCCCAAGAGGGGGGGTCAATACAGCCTCCAGTCAGTGCTTAGGAGCCCACGACGGCCCTAAGACGGCCTGCAGGACCCCTCCAAAACAGTTCAAGACAGAAGCCGAAACGACCTGAAGCCAGAGGGTGAGAAGGGAGAATAAGAAAACGCATAATAATAATACTAATAATAATAATACTCATAAGAATAATAATAATAACAATACTAATAACAACAACAGTTCTACGGGTAAACATAATAATAATTTGATAATACCGATAATCATCATATTAATAATATTATTAATAATAATACTAATAATAATAATACTAATAATACTATAACTAATACTGGTAAGAATAAAAAGAGGGGTCGAGCGAGGAGAAGAACGAGGAAAACAAAGACAAGGATAAGCTAGACATATCATACCACATCCGACAAGAGCAGGCAAGGGCAATCTTCCCCTGCATCAGACCAGAAGACAACGGATAAGACAAAGCAGACGAGCCCGAAAAAACAGACAGACTGGATCGCAACGACCAGGTAACACAAGTCAGATTATACCGTACGCGCCAGTCTGAAGAAGTAGGTGGAAACATGAAGTAGGAAGGTGGTATAAAGTAGATTGGTCTCGGGACCAGACCCAGCCAACCAGACAAGACATATTAGACAAGACCATACAAACCAATCAAACGCGACATGCGCAGGAGACGGGCAGGAGGGGCCAGAAAGACCACAAACTTGACAGTCTAGAGAGAATACCAGTCGGGACAATCCACACCAGTCCAGACAGACCAGATCATGAACAAAGCATCGACCAAACCACACAAGGCAGATAAATCAGACCATGGCAGATCACACAGACCAGACTGGCAAGACAGACCCGACAAGACCTGACTAGAGCAGACGTACAGGGATGACCAGACCACACCAAGACCACGTCAAACAAGAGTGACCAGACAAACCATACGAACCCTACACACCAGTCGGACCAGGGAAGACAGACCAGACAAACCACGTATGCTGGCCGACCAGGCCGACCAAGCAGACAAGACCGCCAGATAGCCCAGCTGGACGTGGCAATACAAGCCGACCGTGATAGAATACGCAGACACAACCGGATAGACCAGATAGACATGACAGACAGTGCAGACCAGACAGGCTAGAGAGACACACCAGACAGTCTAGCAGAACAGCCAGCAGACAGACCACACCTACAGACCAACCAGACCAGGCAGACCAGACAGATCGCGGCCATAGAGAGCCTGACAGACTACAGACCAGACATGCCCGGCAGACCAGGTCAGACCAGACACGCCGAACAAAACGGACTTGACAAGACCAGACAAGAAAGACTAGGCACGCTAGAGCAGACCATGTAGAAAACCAGGACCACATCAGATTGCACCAAGACCAGACTGAACATACCTGACCAGTCAGACTAGACAGACCATGCCAGCCATATTTGGCAAACCACATAATACCAGTCAGATGACCAGACAGAACAGGACGACCAAACAGCAAGGCAAAGAAATTCAACAGGACACCGCTAGCAGACCCTGAGGATACGGACAAGACGAACAAGATGGACCAGACAGAGAGACTGGACAGACCAGCAGGCAGTCAAGCATACCGACGACAAATCCGCCATCGTGCCTTCAGCGCGTAGTGGAGTGCCCCAAGGCTCATACAGCCCTGCAGCCCTGAGAGCTAAAGGGGTTGCAAGGTTCTAAGGGCCTGGACCCCAGGTTCCCAGCCTTTCCTGGAAGATCTCGAGAACTCCTGGGGGCTCCTGGGGGCTCCCGGGAGCTCCTCGGCTGGCCTAAGACGACCTACCGAACACTCGAGAACGTCTCAAGAACCGCCTCAGATGGCCAAGAGGGCAGCGGAGCGGTCCAAGACAGCTTCAAGAGGGCCCATTGTGGCCCCAAAACGGCCCAAGGGGCCCACAAGACGCCTCAAAAGGGCCACGAGAGCACCTCAAAAGGCAAACATCTTCTGTGCATCGGTAGTCTGTCCGGTTGTATTACCGCGAAGCGGTGTGTATCGTGTCGCCGTCGCAAATTGGACCGCCCTCCTGTTTGATAATCGTTAGTTTCTGCCACTCCCCCCTTGGATCATAATAGCGAGCCCGTACCGCGCTTCCCAGAACGTCTATATGCACGCCCTGAGGCATCACGACGTACACCTGGTCGCCGCTCTCGATCGTGCCCCCGCCCTTCTTCTCGATGGTCAGGGCGTGATCCTTGTCCTTACTAGTGCCCCGAGCCTTCACCCACTCCTTCCTCGTGGTACCGTCGAGCTCGCCGATGTTCGAGGAACAGACAATGGCATAAACATAAACTGTCGGAGGTCCGCGCGGATTTCTTGGATCGGCGCTGGAGTCTCCTGGCGGTGCCTCCGGAGCCGCCCCTGGCGCGCTCCGCGCGCCAAGGAGGGGGCTCCATCGCCGATCCGTGAGGTCCGCGAGGACGTCCGAAAGTTGATGCTTCTGGCATCATTTCCCCTGTTCCCCGAGATGTACCTGCCGGTGTGCACCCTGATGTACACCGTGTCGCCCGCCTCGATCGGCTGCTTCGCCGCCGCCTTCTGCGGGTCCCAAGAATATGCCCCACCACCACCTCCATTCCCCCTCCCTCCTCTGCTCTCCTTCTCCCTCCTCTCTCCTGGGAGGGGGAGGGGGAGGAGGGGGAGGGGGAGGGGGGGGAGGAGGAGGAGGGGGAGCAGGAGGAGGAGGAGGAGGAGGAGGAGGAGGAGGAGGAGGAGGAGGAGGAGAATCGAGGAGGCGGAGGAGAAGGATCGAGGAGGCGGAGGAGGAGGAGGAGAGGGAGGAGGGAGGTGGTGGTGGTGTACACTTTCAGGGCCCCCATACCTTCTTCGCGGCGTGCACCGTGACCCGCTCGGCGTGCGCGCCCGCGGGGGCGCGCGGCCCCGCGAGGGGCGCGAAAGCGCCCGCGGGAGCGCCGGACCACAGCCACGCCGCCAGCCCGCAGGACGCGAGGGCCAGGCGCCCGCGGCCGAGGCCGCGCCTGGCGCAGCCCATCTCGCGCGGCTGCGGCCGCAGGCGGAGGCGGCCGCTGGCGCCTCCGGCCAGAGCGGCCTGAGCCAGGAGGGCTGCGGTGTCCGCGCTCGGGGGATCTCGCCTCCGTTCCGGAAGTCATTCGCCGAGTCCGCCAAAGGTGCTCCACGGTGCCGCCCCGTGCCGCCTCGTGGGCAGAGGGAGATAGGGGAACGAACAATGACATACACATACAAGCTGGAGGTCCGCGCGGATTTCTCGGATCGGCGCTGGAGCCCCCTGGCGACGCCTCTGGCGCCGCCCCTGGCACGCTCCGCGCGCCGGGGAGGGGTGTCCAGTGCCGATCCGAGAGATTCGCGCGCACCTCCGAGTTTGTATTGTTTATGCCACTTTTTTTTTCCCCTAGAGATGGAGATGGACTTGGACATGGACATGGAATTTGTGAGTTCGCGGGGCAAAAAGATGAACCAAGGAGGGATGCGTCCTCCGGCTCGTTGCTCCAAGAACGAGATGGCCTTTGGCCAGAGACCACCTCCAGTCCTGTTCAGACATTCGGTACGTGTCTTATCACGCTGTTTCGTGCAGGGCAGAGTGGCCTACGCCAGGAGGGCTGCGGAGAGGCGCTCCCAGGCGCTCCCCAGGCGCTCCCAGGGGTTCCCAGGCGCTTCCCACGCGCGCTCCCAGGCGCTTCCCACGCGCGCTCCCAGACACTCCCAGGCGCTCCCAGTCTGGAGCGGAGGGGGGCGGAGGACGGGCTAGGCGATGGGGGGGGCAGCGGCAATCGTCACGGCTGTGGCGTGCTGGGTGTCGGGGGCTGGGATGCGTCCACGCAGCCATCGTGGGATACGTCGTGGGCGATGAAGGGTCATCGAAGGCCCCGTATGTCGAGGCCCTGGCGAATCATTGAAGGCTTCGTAGACCCTGGAAGGAAATCGAGCCGCCGCAGCCCTCAGAGAGCCCCAGGAGGAGTCCTGAGCAGCATGTGCTGTATCTCGGAGTAGTGAGTCCTGTTTCCAGGGGAGTCCAAGACAGGGGCGTCCAAGAGGCGGGGCGTCCAAGAGGGGGGGTCGCGAATCATGGCCTGAAGCACGAGCACGGCACAGGGGGGGCGGGAGCCAGGGGACGCGTTGAAATCACAAGACGGGGCCACACAACAGGGGGAGTGTCATGGCCCTGGCCATGGGATCCCCACGCCCTAGTCATCACCCCCATCTTGGCCGCCCCCGAAGTCTGGGAGGTGCCCGAGCTCCTGCGCTCGAGCTGCGAGGAGGCCAGAATTTGTTTGCCGTCCTCTCGGGGACCCGCGACGGCTTGTGCCGAAGGGAAACTTGCAATACGCACGAAACTTCTGGGCGCGCGTTATGAACGCAAAAAGTCAGAATATGCTGCGAACGACGTTGCCTAAATATCCACTGGGCCGCATATAAGCAAGAATATGTCGAAGCCCTGGGCCCTTGGCCGGAGCCAAGTGTCAGCCAGAAGGGGCGGGCGACGGCAAGAAGGCACGGGGACCTGGCAGCGACGGTTATCATGCTCTCCATCTTCCCCTCTTCCTGATCCTCTTTCTCGTCCTCGTCCGTTCCTGGATTCTGCACTCTGCGTCCTTGCCGAGGCTCAAATCGGGCAAGTGTGTCTACCACAGGCAGAAATAGAGAGGGGGAAGGGGAAAAGGGAGGGAGGGAGGGAAAGAGGGAGAGGGGCAGGGATAGGAAGAGGGAGAGGGACAGGGACAGGAAGAGGGAGAGGGAGAGAGAGGGAGAGAGACAGAAAGGGAGAGACACAAAGCGACAGACTCCCTTTTCTATGTTTTCATAATCTGGGACCATGCGACCCCCCCCCCCCTAAACGGGACCACTCAGATCCGTGGCCCAGGGGGCACCCTGGACGCCCTTGAAGACGGTCCCCTTTGCTTTCTGGCGCTCCTGAAGCCCTTGCTTGCTGGGCCTAGGCAACGGGCCCAAATCGGTCAGGAGGGCGGCCGGGCGGCCCCGCGGGAGCCCACGGAGGCCCCAGGCACCCACCAGACGCCCGAAGACGACCCAAAGAAGACCCCCAAGAGGCATTCGAAACGCAAAACACATGAATGTCCGATGGTTTTTACTTGATTTGAGGAATGCTCAGTTCTTCGGTCTTCCCGGCGTCCGAGACTGCCCAGAAGGCCAGAGCGTCGCCCAAAATTTAACCATGAGGGCTTCCAGGCAGTCCAAGAGGAGCCCCAAGACAGGTCCAACAGGGCCCCACGATGGCACAAAGAGAGCCCCATGAAGACCCAAAATGGCCCCGAGATGCCTCCCGAATCATTCCAAATCGTGACCCGGTCGTTCAGGGAGACCGCGGTTGGAAGCAGGGTGGCCCGGGGAAGCCCCAAGAGGCCCCCAGAAAGGACCCAGGAGGCTTCCAGAAGGCCCAAGCAAGCCCTGAAAAGCCTTCGTGAGACTTACAAGAGGCTCTCCTAGGATGAGCCTCCACAAAAAGCGCTGATGATGGTGGCGACTTCGCAGGATAGGGCGAGAATGAGGAAAAGGAAAAGGAAACAGGAGGAAATGATAACGAATAACATTATTACAATGGCGATGCCAGAAAAGGTAAAACGAGTTCTCGCTAAATGTTTCGTTCGGCCTTATTGCCTTCCTGCCTGCATGCCAAGCCTGAAGGACCAAAGTGCATGGCGCGAAGCGCTAATGCAGTCTTGCAGTATACAAACATTTATATGTATACACTATATATTTGTATATGTATATATATATATATATATATATATATGTAAATGCATATACATATATATATATATATATATGTATACATTCGCCGGCCCCCTCCGGGGCCGCAAGGCTGCGAAGCTATGTGCGGTCTGCTGTCATGTGTTATGAGTTACCTTTTGTTGTTTGGCCTTTTGTCTCTCCAGTCCTGTTTCCTGCCTCCTGTTTACTGTCTGCTAGGGGGCCCCGCCGAGTCACCAAACAGCCAACGGGGGGGGTAAACCTGAAATCCAGGCTGCTCTGGGCCAACCCAGGATTCTCATGGTGACCCCACCGCGCTGCCAGAACGGCGCGAGAGGCCTCCAAGATTGCCCGAAGAGGCTCCGAAGAGAGTCTCAGGAGGCCAAGATGCCCCAAGATGTCCCACGATGGCCCCAAGACAGCCCAAGATGCTCCCAAAACGGCCCAAGAGGCCTCCAAAAGGTCTCCCAAGAGGGCCCCACGAAGCAAAAATCAACGATGTTCCATACATTTTTGAAGGTGTTTGGCCTTCTCGCCTTTTCGGCTTTCCGACGCTCCGAGACGGACCAGGAGGTTCCCAAGATCGCCCCACGACGGCCCCAGAAGCCCCCATGACGGCCCAAAACGCCTCCAAGACGGCCCCAAGACGGCCGAAGAGGGCCCCAAGACGGTCCAAGAGGCGCCCCAGAAAGCCCAAAAGGGCCCTAAGACGATCTCAAAAGAGGCCTCAGAGGGAGTCCACGAACCGGCAACTCGACGTTTCCGCCCCGAGAGGGCCCCAGAAGGCTCCAAGAAGGCCCCCAGAGGCCCAAACAGGTCCTCGAGAGGCCCCCAAGAGGCCCCCAGGAGACCCCCAAGAGACCCAAGACATAATTTCCAAGAGGCCCCAAGGAGACCCCCAAGAGGCCCCCCAAGTTCCAAAGGAGACCCCCAAGAGGCCCCAAGGAGACCACCACGCAGCCGCCCGCACTAGTAATGGGGGGGCCGGCGGCAGAGGGCGAAGCCCTTAAGATATATACGCATGTATGCATACAAAGAGACAGAGAAAGAGAGAGGAGAGAGAGAAAGAGAGAGAGAACTAAAGAAATATATAAAGAGAGAACATGAGAGAGCTAGAGAGAAAACACACAAAGAAAATAGACATATAGAGAGAAAGAGAGAGAGAGAGAGAGAAAAAACGATATACACATACATATTCATACACACATATATGTACACATAGAGAGAGAGAGAGAGAGCGCGATAACGGAAACCATATATTGAGGGAGAGGAGGAAATATACATAGGGACATATAGATACTCACATATATATAACTGTCGGTAGACATACATACATGCATACATACACACATATGCATACATAAACATATACCCTATTCTAGATACATACAAATATATGTATGTAATGGCAACACACGTGCACATCAAAAGCGAGTTGGCACAGGGGCACGGGGTGTAAGAGTCACGCCCCACGTGAGACTACGCCTGCTGAGCAAGGTACGGCAGATGCGGTTGCACGCCGCGGGTTTTGTTGCGATACAGTGGCTCGATGCTGCAATGTGCCAGGTCACTGGCAAACGTACTTACCCGAGCTGAACCCAGCCCCTTCTGTATGCGAGGCGTCTATTTTCATGAACGCCTTACACAATATATAGCAGTGCGAGACACGCGGCACCCTTGAAGTCTTCGCGACTGTTGTACAGTTTGCAGCCCACCCGGAGAGCAGCAAGGACGCAAAAGGATCGGTGTGACTACCCACTCCGCTGGACCTCACATGAGCCCATGAAACTCGCGACAACTGCGCAGTCCGCAGAGGCAGCCGCGAGACCTCGCCTGGATCCACTTGCCTTCACCTCCGCCACGCCTCCTGGGAGCCCGCGACAAAGGCTACGATTGCACAATTCGCAGCCCCCGAGAGAGCCGCGAGACCTTGCATGATCTGCGTTGCCCTCACCCGCCGTGCATCCCAGGAGCCCCTGAAAATAGCGACTGACTTACAGCCCCAGAGGGAGCCGCGGGGTCTCAAATGATGCGCGTTTCCCTCACCTCCGCCGCGCCTCCAAGGGCCCGCGAACATGATCTGCGTTGCCCTCACCTCCTCCGTGCTCCATTGAGCCCCCGAAATCTGCGAGAGTTGCACAGTCCGCAGCCCCCGAGGGAGCAAACAGTAGGAGACATGAGGCGACAAGAAGGAGAATGAGGACGATGAGTAGGAGAGGGGGCAGGAGGAAAGAGACCACGGTGCTCTACTCAAACCAAGAACCCGACGCCGAAGGTTGGGAAAAAGGAGGTGGAAAGGGGGAAGGAGGAGCACACCTCCTCCTCCTCCTCCTCCTCCTCCTCTTCGTCCTCCTCTTCCTC